CTGAGATGCTCATTGGAGATCAATATGTAAGACAAGATCTTTAAAGGCAGGAACTGTAAAATGTGAGGCAAAATCCATTTGGGTGAAAGACAATCCAAGATGACAGCCAGAATCAGAACTAGGAGATACAAAGATCACAATTCAGAACAAGGGCCAGAGTAAGAAGACATGATAAATATCAGTCGAAGAAAGGCTAATTTCAAATAGTGAGGTTCTCAGAGGTTGTTTTTTGTTTGTTTGTTTTATTTTGATGGAAACCATTGACGAGAGATCTGTCCTGGAAGCAGCTGATGGTACAATGGATAGAATGCTGGGCCTGGAGCCAGAAAGACTGAAATTGAAATCCAGTCTCAACCAAACACTTAGTAGCTGTGTGACCTTGGATAAAGCCAATTAATCTCTGTTTGCCTCACTTTCCTCAACTATAAAACAGGGATAATAATAATAGAACCTATTTCACAGGGTTGTGAAGATCAAATGAGATAATATTTGTAAAAAGTGTTTATCATTGTGCCATGGCACATGGGTAGACACTGTATAAATGTTTATAGCTTCCTTCCCTCCCATCTAACCTTCCTAGGGAACGTGGCCTGGATGCCAGTTGTAAGACAGGTCAAAACTCCAAACTATACTGATGAGTCCCTCGTTCAATCAAAGTTTGGAAGACAACAATAAGTATTGGGGGGGCCACAATCCTGGCTTTGAATTTTGCTACTGGAGTACTAGTGATTGGTATTATCTTCTCTGATTTTGCTCTGTAAGTATGAAAGGAAAGAAGAACTGAAGTTAGAGTGGGGAGCTTGGCAGGTGGTAATGGTTAAAATTGAGTGGCCAAGAAACCTGAAGTTACCTTAGAAGGGTTGTCTCCAAAATTTTTCAATCTTACATCTATGTCAGTAAAAAAAAAAATCATACATCCCATATATGTGCATATATATTTAGTTCTTCATAAGATATGTAATAAACTACTATACTGCTAATTATATACATTATAAAACCTTTAGAAATATAAATTTTTAAAAGGTTGGATAATAAAGCAGTATTTGATCCCAAATCAATATGGAGCTCCTAGAATTAATTGAGAAGGGGAGAGACATGGTCAGACTTGTGTTTTAGGAAAATGACTTTGGCAGCTGTGTGAAGAATGAATTGGAAAGGGAAGAAACCTGAGTCAGGGAGACTAAGTAATACCGGCACAGTTTTTTAAAGAAGCTTCACATAATGGTTGCACCTCACTTTTTTTGCAAAAAAAAAAAAAAATTGGCATAAAATCTGCAATGATGATGCAATGAAATTTGATACTTTTAGACCTTGAACTATAAAGCTTAGTTTGGGCATTTCCTTCTCTATGATGTTTCCCTCCAAAAATGGTGTTCAACTGTGATTCTGAGTTACATGAGGCTTATTAATGAATACTTCTAAATTCCCAGACAGTTATTGATCACCTATAAATTTACATCTTTTAAAGTTCCCAAGTCACAAAGGAGGAGAGGAGCTATTAGAATAATACAGTGCCTGGCACCACACTGTTCTAGGCTGTGGTGATACAAAGAGAAAAATAAAAGTAACTATCCTCAAGGAGCTTACATTTTACTAGGGGAAACAGCATATGAGCACATAAGTAAATACAAAATATATATAAAAATATGAAATAATTTCAGGGTGGAGGTATAATATTTGGGAATCAGAAAAACTGTCTTTTAGGATGGGCACATCCTAAACACATCAACCTGTTTGATATTTCTCACTATCCATTTTGCAAAAACAAACTGTTAAAAAAAATTAAAGTGCTAGTCTAAAGGACTATATATACAATTATAGTCTTTTTTACTCAAACATAACAAAGCCAAGCTTTGAAGGAGCTAGGGGTTCCATGAGGCAGAGAGAAAGAAAAAGAGCATTCCAGTCATGGGCACAGCCTGTATAAAGTTATGGGGTTGGGAAATTAAATATTGGGTGTAGGGAATATAGGGTTCATGAAATAGAGTAATGCATAATCAAACTGGAAAACAGCTGGAGCCAGGATGGGAAAGATTCCCTCTGACAAATAGAGTTGTTTGTATTTTTTCATAGAGGCAATAGGGAGTCACTGAAGTTTCTAGAGTAGGAGAATGGCAGTCTGTTTTGTAACTTGAAATATACTTTTACAGCAATGTGGGAAAGGGAGAATTTAGGGACAGGGAGACCAGTTAAGAGGCTGTTAAAATAGTCAATATCAGGGGTGATGGGGGGGGGGCTAACATAGTAAAGTGTACTGTTGTGTGAATGGAGAGAAAGGGACAGATATAAACATGAGGGAGATATAATTGATAAGACTTGGAAAACTTATTGGGTATGAGATCTTAATGAGATTAGTGAATCAAACATGGTTTCTATGTTGAGATACTGGGTGATTGAAATAATTGTGGCCTTCAACAGAAATTGGAAAGTTTGGAGGAGGGGCAAGTCTAAGACAGAAGAGAATGAGTTCCTTTTCGGAAATGTTTGAGATATCTATGGGGTATCTAAGGGGAGATACTCAACAAAAAATTAGAGCAGAAGATCTATTGGGCTGGATATGTAGATTTGAGAACTATCTGCAGAGATGATCACTGAACCTAGGGGAGCTGGTGAAGTTACTAAGACAGACAGCATAGAAAGAGAGAAGACTCAGAACTTTCATATATAAAAGTAAGGACATGGATGATAATCCTGCAAAGAAGAAGAAGTACAAGGAGAGCAGTGTCGTGCACATCCTGGGAGGAGAGCATATCCCAAAGGAGGAGGTGTTCATAGAGATCAGCAAAGATAAACATTTAGCAAAAAAAAGAAAGAAAGAAAGAAAGCATTGGTGACTTTGAAGTGAACAATTTCAGTTAAGTCATAATGATGAATGCTGGAGTGCAAGGCATTGAAAGGTGAGTTGGAGGTTAAAAAAAACTGGAGGCCATAAATGTAGACGGTTTTCTTTAGGAATTTGGTTATTAAGGAGAAAGTTGGAGCATGATTTGCTCAGGGGCATGGTAACATCAAGTGAAGGCTTTTTAAGGATGATGGAGATCTGGGTATGTCTGTAGATAGCCAGAAGTCAGAAGATAAGGAGAAATGATGAAGGCAGGAGATGATCCTTGAAGGGGCAAACTTCTGGAGGAGATGGGTGTAAATAGGATCAAGGGATTAAGTAGTGGATTTGGCAAGTAGAAGGGCCACTTCTTATTCAGAGACTGGAGCAAAGGAAGAAAGGAGGATGAATAATTTTGGGGTGATTTTAAGGGGAGAATTGAGAAGAGGGAGTTAGAGAAAGACAGCCTTAATTTTATACATTAAAAAGTCTGAGCTCCATATCCTTTCATTTCTGCTCTAACTGAAGTACAAAGGAAAGTATACTAGAATCTCTAAGTGTGCATCAAAATGAGAGAGTCCTACTGTGGACTTTAACATAAACGGCTAGTATCATTTAAACTCATCCACAAATGCTTCTGTAGGATATGGCATATATTTTTATGGAATATTTAAAATTGAGGATAGATGACTAAATTTTTATTGCATAAGAATATTAAATAAAGGCAGGGGAGGCAGAATTTGGGTGGGAGTTGCAGGGAAGGGAAAATAATAGAGTTATAGCAGTAAAAGCTATTTGATCTCTCTAGAAAACAGAATGTATATAACATTTTACTTTGTTTATTATATAAAGAGATGTTACAATTCAGAATTAGGGCATCATGTGTAGGGAAGTATGTATTGTGAGTCTACATAGGAAAAATAGTCTTTATAAACTTTTCGTATTTATAGAGGGAAAAAAATGAACCAAGTGAAGGAGGTTGTACCTGGGTAGTGTGTAAGTGTGAAGGTCAAGACCTTCGGTTTCATTAATTTGAGGAAATCTCTGAATGGATCCTCCCTTCGTATATGTAAGTCAAATCAGTAAGCATTTATTAAGCACCTACTGTTTGCCAGGCACTGTGCTATGCACTGTATGGCAACTCATAGGAAATACTGTGTGAGAGGGTATTGGGAAGCTAAGTGATTTGCCTCTGGTCACAAAACTATAAAGGAAATATGTGTCAGAGGAAGGATTTGACACCAGGGCTTCTTAATTGTAAAGCCATCCTTCTACTACTGTCCCACAATAGCTCTTGAGCTCTATAACCATTATAGAGTTTATATAATATCTATAATACTTATGTTTTTCTGGAGCCCCAGTGTGGCTCCTTCTAACGAAGGGGTCCTGCTTTAGGCTCACACAAAATGGGATTCATCCTGGAGGGTGACCCGACTCCCACAGTCAGGCATTTTCCCACACTCTGTTGGTTTTATGTCTTGCGTGGCTCACTATCCCATGCTGATTGTTCTAGCCATGCTCGCGCACCACCCTCCTCTCCCCAGCCTACCTTGCTTTCCAGTTCTGGAGTCATATCCACACTGCCACTACTAGCTATATTGATTCTTGTTATATAACAGGTCCACTTTCTTTTCTGATTAGATCCATTCCTGGATGATCTATATCATCTGTGCTTTAACTAAGTTTCTAAGTCACAGTGAGGGTGCTTTTTTTCTGAAGCAAAATAAAGAAGCTATCCTACTCTGATAACTCATCATACCATGGAGTTGACTCTTGGTTTTCAAAACCTATGCCAAGGAGAATGTGAGCTCTGGGAGAATCTACCTACTAGAAAGTCTTCAGATACAGTCCCAATAACAAAATATGGTGGATTTTGTTTTGTTTTGTTTTAAGGACCAGCCATGTTAAATATAGAGAAGTACATCACCAGAAGGTAGGATGCTATAGATGAATAGTTTGACCATTTCAACCCCTGAAACCATATAATACAATGTCCCCCTCCCACATGAAACAGTTTAAAAAAAAAAACTACTATCAGAAATGTTAAGAAAAGTCTCATTCCTCTTTGTCCTCCAGTGTAAGTATTTGACCATATCATAAACCTAGGCGGTGAGAAACTCAGGACAGATTAATGACTGAATAAACATTGTTCTCTAACCAGCTGATTTGGTCTTGTCAGTTTAGGTGACTTGAAGCTTGGAAAAGACCAGAAAGAGATGACAACATCTGCCCAGGGTGAGCAATTAAAACCAAATGCCTTCAAGTTCACTTTTTTTTCAAAGTAAAAGATTTATGACTCTCCTTTACCATAATTCTCTGCCCTCCCTCATCCCCCACCCCCAGGGGGCATATGGAAACAGAAACTGGTATAGGATCCAACTGGAATAGATTAAACTGTGTTCTCCTCAATGAGGTTAATACGGCCACCTGTTTTCTATTCCTTTTATTTAATTGTTGTTGACTAAATAACTTTGTTTATGATACTCAGATTCTGGAAATCCTTAAAAAAAAAAGCAGTTTGTCATCATCTAGTGATTCATCTGATAATTTAATCATAGAGAGTAGAGCATATTTGTCTGGTATAGGTTTGTTTGTTTTGCATTGATATTGAACCTGAAAAAAAGATTTCTGGACACCTTTGACTCCACTTAAAAACCCTAAAATGTTCATTAGAAATTTATATTGGTAATAGCTGACAGAATATTAGGAATTGATATTACTTATTTCTTATCAGTCCTGTAATAGGCAGTATGGCATAGTGAAGAGTGAGCTCATGGAGACATGAGTTTAAGTCTCATTTTGTGGCTGGGGCAAATCACTTAAACTTCTCAGTGCTCTAGCCGAGTGATGTCCAACTCAAATAGAAATGCGTCCCTTATTGGCATATTGACTTAGAAAATCACAAATGAACATTATCAATGTTATAATTTTTTTAAAATTTATTTTGTTAAACATTTCCCAGTTACATTTTAATCTGGTTCTGGCCTTCTGTTTGACATCTCTGTTCTAGGCAATGCTTTTAAGACTGTGCATTGCAGAGGAGGTATCAGCATTGATAGAGGTGTCTTCCTCACTTGGGTTAAAACTCACAGATCCAATTCTTATCACTACAGTCAATCATGTTTAGTTCAAGAGTAAGCATTAGCAAGGGGAACATTTAAAATGGCATTTGATTTTTCTGAGCTTATAGATTATGTATGTTGTATATGTATATTCATTCAGCAGGTTTCTTGATCCTTAATTCAAGAACTTACTTGATATTGTACTTGCATGAAGAGCTGTGTTGAGAAAAAGATGATTAGGTTAAAGATTCTGCCACTTACATACATATTTAAAATAATAATAATAGATAATATTAATTCAAATTTGTTCATAGACATATATGTGAGTGTTCATGTGATGGTCTTCAGAATCTGATCTTTGATTTATAAATATCTATTTGAGTATTATTTTAGTGAGATTATGAAAATGGAATTTCATAATAAAATGTTGAGTAAAGCTTATAGCTATGTTGCATTACTTTTATATTCAAAAACATTTTCCTAGACAAGTGAGAGTTGCCACCTCAGAAGAGTCATTTCTTTTAATAGATATAGCGTGCTGAAATTCCCTTAGAGCAAGGGGAACATCTTTAAATTTCCTTCTTTCATTTTTTTCAAATATATATTCATTAATAACAATAATAGCAAGCATTTGGGAAATGCTTTATAAGTATTATCTCATTTTATCTTAGCAACAAACCTTTTGAGGCAGGTGCTATTATTATCCCCATATTACAAATAAAGAAACTGTGACAGAAGTTAAGTAACATTGTCCACAGTTTCAAATAAATTAAGTGTCTGAGGCAGGATTTGAACTCAAGTTCCTAGTGATTAAAGGGCTGGGGGTAGGAAAATGATCTCTTGTATATTTGAGAAAATTAACATTTGGTCTTTTGACCCTTCTTCCCATTTTTGTGCCTTACTCTGGTTTGCTTTAACAACTACATTTATGAAAGTTTTTTTTTCAGTTCATAGTAGTATATAATAAAAGTATGTTAAATTAATTTTGAATGAGAAATAGGAAAGAGATAATAAAGGACTTCAGAGAAATGCAAAGTACAAATAATGTGAACCTACCTTATTATTTTCATGGGAATGTAAAGAATAATACTTAAAATTTTACAAAGTACCTTCTTTCTGGACTGTTTTGGAAATATGGCTATTGATATAATGGATTTTCCATGACTAATTGTGAAAGAAAATTATATGTCCAATCCCATATCCTTCCTTACTATATTAATGAGATATGCAAAACCTGCATCTAGATGCCCAGTCAGCTCTTAAAGCTACAGAAAATATAATACCCCAAACTGGGAAGTCTAGGGAATAAAGTCTCCTGCTGTTGATGTATCTGTCTGAGCTGCCAAGGAAGTTCAGAACCTATACCAGAAGAGGGCAAAGGATGCCTTTCTGCTTTCAGAAAAATCTGTTATTTATTGCCTCCCAGAGGCCTTGGAAGACTTGCTATGTGCTAGCATCTGGGTCCATACACCAAATTTGCTAGATTGTATTGACAATTGGATGACTTTCATGTAACTATTCAAAATTATATAGTATCTATAATTGAACTGTTTTCTTTATCTAAAATTAATTAAAATTGACTCAAATGAGTAAATGCTTATATTTAAAAAGAAAATTTTCATTCCACTATCTTGCTTGCAAATAAGATGAACTTTCTATCATAAGTACTTAAGAATACTAACCACAGAGGATGAGAGATTTGCTTTCCCTCATAGGCATTATCCTCTTTTCACTAGATTAAAAATACATAAAATAGGTAGTCTGTGAATTAGGAGCTTCTAGTAGAAGGTCCCAAGGAAGGAAATAATCAATCTCTTTTCATTTTTTTAAAGCTTCATGTAAAATTGTTAATAAAAGTTTGGAGGTGTTTGTAGTCTGGCTTAAAAATGTTGTTTTGTTTGATCAATCACAGAAATAAGATAACATTTTTAGGAAATCTGTCTATCTGCCTCCCTCCCTTCTTTCTCTCCTTCATTCCTTTCTGATGTACTTGCCGTTATATCTTCCTCTCTTGTCTTCCTTCCACATTAAGTCCCTGCTATATGCAATAAAGACAATATGAGGCATTGTAGGGAGAGAGTAGAGAAAAAAAAATCAACAGTACATTATACCTATAACCAAAGAGTTGCTACTTATTTTGAGCTACTTGGCATTTTTCTGTTTTCTATTTATCTATTTCATTTATATACATTTCAGATTCATGAGAATGTCTGCTTCTTATTGTCTGTTGAAGAATTCCACCTTGAACTTTTCTTTAGGTAATAGGTTGAATACTCTATTAGTTCATTTGTCTTTAAGGATATCAATTCACTTCTAAATGCTGGTAGTCCTATACTTCTTGAAAAGTTATAAAAATGGTTGCTACTCTTATAACACACAGACCTCCAATCTCCTCTTGTTTGGCCAACTTAATGAGTAGATCAGTGAATGAATGAATCACCAGGAATCTTAAAGAAAAATTCTGAGTAAAAAAATAATGAAATTGATCTTTGTACTTCCGTGATTATGTCTTTGTGGGGAGGGGAACTCTGTTATGTGATATTATGGACTCAAAATAAGGTTTTATATTCAACTAACCAAAAACTTAAAAAAAAAGTCTTACATTTTATAAAAAAGTGTGCATCCATGTTTGCTGAAGTTTTTCAAAAGTCAGAATCAAATATTTAGGCTTATTAAGAAAATAAGATTTGTCATTAATTCAGAACCCATTAATTTAGTTGTGATCTTCAAAAACAAGTTTTTAATTGAATCTAGTTCAATCAACCATTCAACAATTAAGCACCTACTCTGTGCAGGTTGTTCAGTCATATCTGACTCTTGGGACCGTATAGGCCCTGTGGAGGGGGCTAGATGGCTCAGTGGATGGAGTGGTGGGTATGGAGCCATGAAGCTCTGAGTTCAAACCTGGTGTCAGATACTTACTTGCTGTATGACCCTGGGTAAGTAACTTGATCTCTGTTTGCCTTAATCCACTGGAGAAGGAAATGACAAACCACTCCAGTATCTTTGTTGAAAAAAACCTTTGGACAGTATGGGTGTGCTATGGTCTCTGGGGTCATGAAGAGGCAGAACAACAACAGTGTATAAGGTGGTATGCTAGCTGTGGGGAATGCAGAAACCAAAATGAAACAGTCTCTGATTTCTAGAGGTGGGGAAGGGGGAGATTTAACATGTCGATAATTAATTTGATGCAAATTACATGCAAATTAATACAAAGTAAATTTAAGAGTAAAATAGTATCAATAATTGAAGGTGTCAGGAAAAGCTTCCTGTAGGAGATGGCACTGTGTGGATTGATGGAAGGTAGGGCTTTTACAAGGGAGGAGTGAGAGAGGAGCTCACCACGTGTAAAGGTGACCTCTTGAGTAAAGGCATGGAGAGTGAAGGGGAAAAGAATGTTGCATGTGTGAAACAGGGACCTGGTCAGCTTAAGGCAAGAAGAAGCAAGGTATGAAATAAAACTGAGGGAAAAAGTAGGTAGGATGTTGATTGTGGAGACCTTTCAATGTCAGTCTAAATAGTTTGTATTTTATCAGAGGCAATAGAGACAAAAATAAATATAAACCTAATAAACATATTTTGTGATGAATTCTTTACTACATTAAATGTATTTGCACTAACTCTGTTTTCTCTCAAGAATCATTGCATTTGCACATTCTTATTAGACAATATTAAAATAGAACGGACTTAGTCTTCAATTTTAAAAGTCCAGAATTGTAGTGCTTCTAAGTTTGTTTTCTTGGGAAAATATATGCTTATAAATCAGTATATCAATTTCATTGGTAAACTATATGGATTACAACTCATTCTGAACTTAAGATATGTCTCAGAGAGTTTCCAGAAGCTCAGAAAGGTTAAGTGACTTGCTCATGGTCACACAGCTAGTAAGCATCAGAGGTAGGATTTGAGTCTAAGTCTAGGACCTGGTCATAATTCCACATTGCATTTCAAAGTTATTGGTAGCAGGTGCTACCAATTAATATGAATGCAACCTATACATTCTAATACCCATTAATGACATTTATAATTTGCATGAAAATTATTCATATGCTACATTTAGTTCTGGTGCCATCTTCTGGGGAAGTTTGTTGACAAAATGAAGAGTAAGCAAGGTAAATAAAGGACTATGAGACCATTCCATATGAGGGGAGTTTTGAAGGGACTGGATGTTTA